ACTTTTTTGTTATTAAATAAAGCTACAGATCTAATTATTACATTTTGAATAGCCCTTAAAAAATAAAAGTATTACCATGTGAAACATCTTAATATTTGCCAATATTAAAACAAAAAATTATTCATCGTTTTTTTACATTTTTTATACAGGGTGTCCCAAAAAACATGGGAATTCAGTGACGAATTCGATATCGTCTTGTTATGAATTAGCATTGTAATACCTAATTTCAAAAGAAATAATATTATTATGTCTGCTAGAGTTTATTTTATGAAAACGGTAAAAGACTGTAAAGATGTGTCTATAATGTCTCCGCAAGATGAATAGTGAAGACGGACAAGTTTACTCTGTTTGTATACTGCAATTTTCTTGTTTTACTAAGTACAACCTTATGCAGTCAAAACATAAACAAACAAATTGTAAACAAAGCAGACGAAACTCTTACAGATTACAGCTTTCTCATTAGGTATCACTATACTAAATCAAAGAATTATTTAAAAAGACGATATCGAATTCGTCACTGAATTCCCATGTTTTTTGGGACACCCTGTATCATCCCTCCCTAGCACCCAAACATTTAGCGGTCTACTTTTGTTTCAATGAGCTGGCCATGAAAAATTGAGATATAAATATCCCTTGAATCCCTTTCCTCTGACACCTTTTTCCAGGGGGTGGGCGCCCCCCAGGCTGTGCATAGATTTAGTCCCCACAGCCTTTCTAGGGTTAAAGAAACAATTAACATGGATATCTAATTCATACTTGATCAGACAAAGCTTTGAAGTGAAATATAAATCCCTGGCCATAGTTTCACATTGTAAATAGGGGACCATCCCCTCTTCCCCCTAATAAGCCGTCATTATTTATTTTATCCAGTTTTTTTGATGTTCAGAGTTTTATAAGTTTAGTCAAATAGATTGTCAAGTACAAAAGATGGCAACAGAAAAATCGACCAACTGCGCACAACGTCACAAGTGTCAAATGTAAAAAGAAATACGACATGTTGTCCAACTAGTTAATATGATTTTCAAGATTCAGCTTAGATAAATAGTGTCTTTGTGGGAATACGTAGAAAATGTCAGATACGGTTAAAAGAATGATTAAAAACTATTTTATTAACCCTATTCCCGCTGGGGGGGGGGGGTCAATTTGCCCCCCCCCCTGTAGTTTTTTTTACATAACTCAAAAAGTATTGGTCTGAGGCTGTTGAAATTTTCTGACTTTTCTTACATACCCAAAGCCCTCCCTTTAGGCCTAAAACCGGGCTTTAATACTAACTGCCTGAGTCCTCAGGCACACTGCCTGAATGACTGCTTTTGCCTGTAGCAAACTAAATCTTTGTTTTGACCCACTTTCACTTGTCAGATTTTGATAAAATTTAGCTTTTTGAAAAGCCTATGACATAAGGAAACGGATTGCACAAGTTTTGCGAAAAAAAAATTGCAAGTTTTTTGCAAACAACCTGTCAAAGGAAATTTGCACATTTTTAGTTTTTCTTGATTAAAAATCAGGTTATTTAAAATTGTGCACAAATTTTTGCACATTTGAAATGGCATGGTCAAGGGCTTTTCAAAAATGTATAATTTGTCATTTTTTGGAAAAATTTTTTTTTGCAAACATTTTTACTATAAAACTGGATTTTGCGATAAAAAATTCAATTTTCGCAAATTTGCAAATTTGTTTGTAGATTCTAAAAGTAGAGGACAAGAGCTTTCTAATGATGTATCATTTGTCATATTTGGACATAAAACATGGGATTTAGAGGGGGGGGGTCAAATTGACCCCCCCCCAGCGTATCCTGGTTTTCAAGTACCCCAGCGGGGATAGGGTTAATAAAGCTACAGAGCTGAATTTTTTTTTTGAAAAGACCTTACAAAATGGATGTAACAACATGTGTCCCATGTAAAAAATTAAACATATTTGTTTCTGCACATTTTTCCGACTCACTTTTTGGACATTTTTTAAATCCTCCCTTTCACCTTAACCGGCCATGTAGTAAATTCAGGAGAAGCATATAGTTTACCTATCTATATTATCTATGTTTAGTTCATACCCTGACCGGCCCGACCGGTCAATCTGTTATCAATAAATTATAGTAATATAGTAATCGTTGCTTCATACGGACGGAATTAGCCTGGGTAGGCTAGGAATATAGTCAGGATTGACGGAAGAATTAGAGTTAGAGACAAGTAGTTAAAGAATTCTCGGGACCTAGATTGTTACAACCATTAAAGATATAAGTCTAATTTTTTAATGGGCATACCTTGTAAAGTTGGGCTAGGGACAAACGGCACAGGGACATGTATCACATCCCCCTTTATCAACTCTAAGGGCAAACACCCCCCCCCCCTCTATGTTAGAAAAAATAGTCCAATCGGGAAAGGGCTAATAAAAGATCATTGTTATCTAATACATTCATACGTTCATTCATATAAATTGTGCCATTGTGATTTAAATTAAATTATATACAGTGCAAAAACCAAAACACTCAGGAATAGGAAGACCACTTTTAGAGTAAATAGGAAGACGACTATTAGAGTAAATAGGAAGACGACTTTTAGAGTAAATAGGAAGACGACTTTTAGATTAAATAGTCCAATGAATGAGACACAGGAATTGCACTAGTAAAGCTATTTCTAATAAACTTTAGTATTGTTTTAATTTCGTCCTTTTTCCACAGTTTTCTAGCTATCACTTTACTAATACAATATGTTTAAATAGAACTTATTGTTATTTTCTAAACTGGTACCAAACCACTCTACTTAAAAAATGATTAGTCTCTTTAAGAATAAAATAATATTTTGTTTAAATATCAAGCTTGATTGCAGGGACTTCATAAACATGTTCTTTCCTCTTCACAATCCGTTCATTAATAATCCTTCAAATATTAATCCTTTAATTAATAATCCTTCAAATATTAATCCTTTAATTAATAATCCTTCAAATATTAATCCTTTAATTAATAATCCTTCAAATATTAATCCTTCAATTAATAATCCTTCAAATATTAATCCTTTTATTAATAATCCTTCAATTAATAATTCTTCAATTACTAATCCTTCAATTAATAATCCTTCAATTAATTATTCTTCAATTAATAATCCTTCAATTAATAATCCTTCAATTAATCATCCTTCAATTAATAATCTTTCAATTAATTATCCTGCAATTAATAATCCATCAAATAATAATTCTTCAATTAATGATCCTTCTAAAAACCTGAAATGTTGATTTACTCTCTGTTAAAATGTAATTGTTCTTCAGAAGTATTTAATTTATATGTTATAATCAAGATTTAAAACTCGCCAAACCTCGACTGTAGGTTTGAAGTGATTTTATTTTAGATAAAATTCTTGCATGTTTTAAATTACAACTATTTTTTCCTTTAGATTTGAAATCCCTGTACACAAAAAAACAAGTTTACTTTTCTCACTTATGTAAACCTAGAGGAGTTACAAGGTGCAAAGTCGTTCTAGTAAATCTCAAACTACACAGGCAGCCGTAGTACATTTGAATTTCCGAACCGGGTCAACCTTTCCGGTCCCAGTTTGTACTGTATCGCCCGGACATTGGGTAAATAAAGCAGACACTCAATAGGACTAGTCGGTGCAACAAGGTTAAAGCGGTCAGACTTTAGGTTAAATTTACTTTTACTGAGGATCAGAGGTACGTGACTATCCACTAAAACACTTCTTTCTACTCTACAAAAAGAGTGTTCTATGTTTATCGATATAGATATACTAGCTTGGGAATCCAGCGCTGCCCATACTACTAAAACTTTCTCCCGCCGTTTACCCGCACTTGAAAAATTTTATCGGGAAACTAAATGTTCGCTGTTAACTTACTAAACTTATAATATCCAAACTAAGCTAAGAACTTTCCCGTGGGTCTCCCGAGTTCCCTAATAAAAATTTGAGGCAAATTAGTCCAGGGGTTCCTGAGTTATAATCGAACAAACACCCAGACAAACAGAGATTACAACTATATATATACATATAGATATACAGTGATAACCAGAAAACAATGGACTAGAAAGATGCGGGTCCGTTGGGGGGTCCAAAAATCGTATACTAGGAAATTAACGAAAGACGACATTTTAGCAATACTTAAGGGTTTTGATGTTGTTACAAAGCAAATATTATTACTAGTACCTTACAAGCAAAGTGAAATGGGTCTATTCACACTGTACAATTGTTTAATGTCTATTGAACTAGTTTAAGTCCTAAATTGAGTTTAAAAGTCGTCTTCCTATTTCAGAGTTTTCTGGTTGTCACTATTTGTGTTCAAGAAATTTCGACCACTAAAGACCGTTGTGAGACGTGAAACACTTTTTTTTAGCACATTTCTTTGATAAATAATTTGAAATATCTGTATATATATTTCATATTGACAGATATGAATGTGTATTGTGTATAAAATGTCGTGTAAGTTGTTGATAATGGTTGAGCAGAGAAGAATAAATAGAACTTTGTTTACTCTTAACTCTCAACTTTCTTCAGCTTTCAATGAGAAACCGTTTAGCTCACAAACCATTAAAATAGAAATAAATGGGCTGTAGGCCTATTTTTAAGTGGCCCTCTTCTTGAAAACTGATTATTTTTAATTGTGGTTTCTCTGCCATCGCATCTTTACTATAAGAAAATATACGGTAATTATCATAATTAAACAGTGTTTAAACCATAGAAGTAATAAGTTATCTTCCACATTATTATTTATCAGATAATGGTTTCATGGGTATCGTTGTGAATCGGGCATTGCCATCTTTGCATGGAGGGTACGCTAAATATTACGCTTAAGTCTAAACAAAACTTCTTATAAGTGTTCAGTGACAATTGAAACAAAACTTTATTTTAGCAAAATATTTATATTTTTCAAAATAAAATTGGATCCAAATTAACGTGAGAATTATAAAATGACCGAATATATTTTTATTTATTTTACTTTAGCAGAAACATTGAGAAACGTTTTAGAAAAATAATACAGTGGTCTCCAATAAATAAAGTAGATTCAAAAGAAAACTTGTATCTCTATGTTGGTAAAATAGCTTAACAAATATGATATGTGTCATCTTTGAAATAACTCGAGCTTTTCGACATAAGTATTATGTATGTTTGATACACTTTATAAAGACTTCAGAAGGCTGAACTTGTGTGTGATTAATCTCGGGATTAATCATTAATCTCCATCTTATGCACATTTACAGATTTCTGTAATTCCTTCATGAAATTTTTAATTTAGGGATCTAGTATTTTCCTCAAATTTAAAAATGTTCATATTGGATATCGAGCACAGACATTCAAGATTAACTATTCTTCACACAAAATTTCTGACTTCAGGTCGTCTTATAAAAAGCTATCATTGAAGTCGTCTTCATGTTCTTCTATTCAGATTTCCAAACTGCTAGAAGCTTCTTCTATCAGAGTTATCAGATTATCAAAATATTTATCAGCTGTTAGAGTTCCGCCATCTTTTGCTGCTCCTGAAACATGCACTGTTAAAATATTAGCTTATTTTGACAGGTACACGGTTAAAATCTTCGCTGCTTCTGAAACATGCACTGTTTAGCTCTTTGTTGCTTCTGAAACATGAACTGTTAAAATCTTGGCTGCTCTTGAAACATGAACTGTAAGACTTTGTTGCTCTTGAAATATACACTGTTAAAATCTTTGCTCCTCCTGAAATAAAGGTTGTAAAATCATTGCTGCTTCTGATACGTACACTGTTAAAATCTTTGCTCCTCCTGAAATAAAGGTTGTAAAATCATTGCTGCTTCTGATACGTACACTGTTAAAATCTTTGCTCCTCCTGAAATAAAGGTTGTTAAATCATTGCTGCTTCTAGTACGTACACAGTTAAAATCTTTGCTCCTCCTGACATCAGACATATGCACTGTAAACACCGTTCTGATTTTAAAACATGAACTATAAAAACCTTTGCTGCTATTAAATTATACACTGTAAAACACTTAACATACACTTTGATATACATATATGCAGTGCAGTGACAAAATATTTGCCGTTCCTGCAATATGAATGTGTGTGGCTAGCTCTTGAAGTAAAAAATTATATAAAATTGTTGCTGCCCGGGCTCCCATAAACATATCCCATGGTTCTGGAATATTTACTGTAAAGTACAGATGTTAATAAAGTTTACACTGCAAACGAAAAAATTGAAAAATTTCCAAAAAATTAAATTTTAACATTCACTCAAATTACGAGAATTTTATTGTTTAATAAGGAAATGAAGATTCAGAACATTTGACAAAAGAACTTATTAAAAACCTTGTGTCAATGTCATCCTTGTTCCCCCCCCCCTCATTATTATTATTATTATTATCATTATAAACAAGTATATACAACCTGATTATGTTTCATAAACAAATCATACAAATAATCTGTATATCAAGGATCTTGCTGACATAAATAAAAATTACATTTTACCGTTCATAACATATGCCCTTAAAGGGACTGTAAAGGAAAAATGAAAGGGGGTATCGGCTGAAAGCTAATCACTTTAGCTCTTAATCGCGACCCATGAAAGTTATATCTGATGTTCCTTTCTCAAATTTATACGAAAATTAATATATATACAATTTTGTATGAAAGTAGTGGGTTTAAATAGATCAAATTCAGCAAATAAGCAACCAATCTGAAAACGATGATATCCCAGAGAAAGCTAATTGTAACTTAGGTTTACTCCAATTCTAACTTTATATTTGTTATTTCTATATTTTATAGATTTAAATCATAATATTATTTATACGTCCGTATTGCTTGACCAGAAATTCCACCAATGGCAGTGCAGTAAAGTGGTCACGTGATACAGGCGGAGACACGTGACCAGTATACTGCTCTGCCATTGGTGATAGTTCTGGTCACGTGATTTAAGTTTAAGATATTCTAAATTTTACATATATGAACTTTCGTATAATTTTAACACAGTTTTATATTATTTTCTCGAGACAGGAACATCAGATAAAACCTTCATGGGTCGCGATCAAGAGCTAAAGTGGCTTTCAGCCTATACCCCCTTTTATTTTTCCTTTACAGTCCCTTTAAATTTGATTTTTTTTTTATCAATTTTGACAAAATACGAGTTTGTCTAAGAAAACTTTGGTAATAATCACATTCTTTACTTCTCTATTCTGACAAATAAATTGAGATGTTGATCGACTTCAGAAGAAAAATCAATTGCAAGTATTAACTTACTAAGACAATAGAATGACTAATTTGAAAAAAAATGAAAAAAAATTTAGGATTATGTTTAGGAATTAAAAAAAAACATCTCGTTACATAACGGTGAAAGATTGGTGAATGATGATATATATATTTTTTATGAAAAAAAATGTTTTATTTCACCTCTTTGGAAATAAAAACAAACTTTACCTAATTTTCTAAATTTTTGAAGATTGTTGGATTCGCCTATCTTTGAATATTTGGTTTCATCTTCAAAGTTCTCAATAATTTGAAAGAGAGAACTCTCACTGTAATCATATAATTGGAATTTTTAAATCTAAAAAAATCTTTAAAATTTTTTCCAAATCTTCTCAATTTCATTTATGATTCCAAAAGACATTTCCTTAAGGACTTTTTCATTAAAGTTTCGTAAAAATTAAATTTTTAGACCACTGAGCTTTTTCACAGATTTTGTTAAGAAATGAAAATAAATAATTCTTATTTCTGTGGTTTTGGTTATTTATAGATTTATATTTATTTCTCCAATGTTTACACTTGATTACGCATTGTGTACAGTGTACACTTAACAATGTAAACACTCGCCATGATATTATCAAAACTTTTTGGAAAGAGGGAAGAATGAATAATATTACGATGTTTTAAAAGAAATCGTATAAGCTGACACATGTAAGGTCTAGAATAATGTCTAATTAGAGATTTTTAACTAAAAAAATATGCCATTTATTTACCAAAAAATATTTTTTTAGTTTCTTTTAAGTGATCCAGTTATATCCCTGTAGTCTGATGATATAAACGAGCTGTGTCTTTTGGACCGTAAATCCGCCAAATCATTCGGAAAATTAGTAGATTTCTTGTCACGTTTCAGGGGCGAGAATTGGGGGGAGATGTCACGTTTCAGGGGCGAGAATTGAGGGGAGATGTCACGTTTTAGGGGCGAGAATTGAGGGGAGATGTCACGTTTCAGGGGGGAAGGGGAGATGTCACGTTTCAGGGGAGAGAATTGAGGGGAAATGTCACGTTTCTGATGTGAGAATTTAGGGGAGGGAGAGGTGCTAAACCCCGGGGAAACAGCTCGATGGAGTTGGCTAAATTTAGGGGATTTTGTGTATTCACGATCCTGCGCTATTCTTGGAGTAAAGTTTAAAGTTTCATCGCCATTTCTAAAACAAAATATTTTAAAGTTTATAGTTTCTTGTTTTCAGAGATTTAAAAAAAAAACAGTTTGTTTAAAGAAGTGTCATCAATCATTCAATTGTACATCAGTCTATTTTATCAAGGAAGCACTCTAATGATTATATTTCTATCTTTACATATCAGTCTTGGATGTTATTTGGATGTCATTTATAGTGTTGACGATATTTATTATTTAAATTTTTACGATTGAAATTTGAACTTTGTCAGCTGTAACTCTGTAGTATATTTAACTGTCAAATTAATCTTTAAAATGCAAGATTGAGACTTTAGTTTAATTAAAAACAATTCACGGCTCAGCTGTAAAAACTAAACATTCAGGGTTCAGATGTTAAAACTAAACAATTCAGGGTTCAGATGTTAAAACTAAACAATTCAGGATTTAGATGTAGAAACTAAACAATTCAGGGTTCAGATGTTAAAACTAAACAATTCAGGATTCAGCTGTAAAAACTAAACAATTCAGGATTCAAATGTAAAAACTAAACAATTCAGGATTCAGATGTAAAAACTAAACAATTCACGGCTCAGATGTAAAAAGTAAACAATTCAAGGTTCAGATGTAAAAACTAAACATTTCAGGGTTCAGATGTAAAAACTAAACAATTCAGGATTCAGATGTAAAAATTAACAATTCAGGATTCAAATGTAAAAACTAAACAATTCAGGGTTCAGATGTTAAAACTAGTCAATTCAGGATTCAGCTGTCAAAGACTAAACATTTCAGGGTTCAGATGTAAAAACTAAACAATTCAGGATTCAGATGTAAAAACTAAACAAGTCAGGATTCAGATGTTAAAACTAAACAATTCAGGGTTCAGATGTTAAAACTAAACAATTCAGGGTTCAGATGTTAAAACTAGTCAATTCAGGGTTTAGTTGTCAAAAATAAACAATTCACGGTTCAGCTGTAAAATCTAAGGCCCACTAGGTCTAGACTTTTTATCCAATGAAACCCCTATTAAATTCTACAATTTTTTTTAAATTAGTAAATTGAGTCGCCAAGGGCGTATACAGAAATTAATCTAGTGGTGGGTGCGAAATATAAGCAATTTTTTTTGTATGCCCCTTCCCCTTTATACGCCCTTGTGAGTCGCGAAGAAATGCGCAAGTCACTTTTTAAAAAAAAAAACCTTATCGAAAATAATAAATTCTCAATGGGATAAAAATTGTTATCTCATTCATTAGTGATCCAACAAAAATTTACTAAGGGAACCGTTGTATAATTCTGACATTTATGGGATTGACCGGCTATGTAAGGTAGTTGAACTGAGTATGCAGTTTTGTGGAAAACTTCTTTCGGAATCATTTGAGACATATTAAACTTTTTAAAGATCTGTATATCCTGAGTTTGAGCGCAAATTCGACTTTCAAAACTCCTACTTTGGGGTTTTCAGAATTATTTTTTTTTTAATTATTAAATAACGACAACGAGAAATAACTCAGGATTTACAAATCTTTAAACAGTTTAATATGTCTCAAATGAATCCGAAAGAAGTTTTCCACAACACTGCATACTCAGTTCAACTACCTTACTTAGCCAGTCACTCCCTTTAAACGCAGCGAGACTTTTCCATTTTTTATTCTCCGTAGAATTTTATGATAAAAAAGTTTAGAATTCTGAATAAATTACATTTTTCAAAGCTTTAACAAAAACCTGAAACCTTACAAATACAAAACAGCTTAAATTTCAAAAAATATACTTTTGGTTAAAAATAATTTTAATAGTTTTTTAAGCACGCCCCCCCCCCTCGCTAGCAGCTATCCTTTAACCTCTATAAATGTATTTGTAAGCAACCCTAGCCTAGTATAGTATACTGCATAATGTATTTTCTAAACAATGCTTTGAATATATTAATTCACTAAACAGTGGACTTTTACCAAAATATAAACCTTTTTTATCACTCAATTGTGACTCCATGCATTTTTTTTTATAAAAATTTATAAAACAATAAAAAAATGTTAATTCCCGTAAAAAAGAAAAACTCTAGGAAAGATATTTTTAACCGTTTTGTAATTTTTAAACTTACAGTAAATTTGACATTAGAATGTTTTCAATCCTAAGAAAAAATAATGACATTTATCTATTTACAGATACCTTTAAATCCGAAAAATTGAAATTATCTATTTACAGATATCCTTAAATCAGAAAAAAAATATTGACATTACCTATTTACAGATATCTTTAAATAAAAAAATATTGACATTATCTATTTACAGATATCTTTAAATCAAAAAAATATTGACATTTATCCATTTACTAATATCTTTAAATCCATAAAATGAATGACTTATAAAGATAAAAGAGCAAAGATTATTGTGTTAAACAATATTGTCTCAAATTACAAAGTTTTAATGAATATAAAATAGTTTATTATTATATCATTTTAACAATTATTATTTTTATCGTTATTATTATTATTATACTTTAAACTGTTATTATTAATACTTAAATCAATACTAATATCAAAAGTTTACTTTAAAAAAAATAACTTTTTATTTTAGAAAGGTTTTGTATCTACCTTGAAAATGAAGTTTCTGCGTATTTTCTTGTATACTGTGGTCTGTACAGAGTCTCAAACACGCCTTAATACATTTATATCTTGTCCTATCTTTGTTTTCTGTTGTTGTTAATATTTCTTGGCCTATCCTATGTTATCTGTTAATGTGTAATATCTTTTCCTATCTTTGTTTTCTGTTGTTGTTAACATTTCGTGTCCTATCTATGTTATCTGTTGATGTAAACAAAAGTTGTTCTGTCTATGTTATCTGTTGATATAAACATTCTTTTCTATGTTATCTATTGATGTAAACATTGCTTGTCCTATCTATGTTATCTGCTGATGTATTATAGCTTGTCCTAACTATGTTATCTGCTGATGTGCTTTATCTTGTCCTATCTATGTTATCTGCTGATGTGCTTTATCTTGTCCTATCTAGGTTAACTGTTGATGTGTTATATCTTGTTTTATCTATGTTAACTGTTGATGTGTTATATCTTGTCCTATCTATGTTAACTGTTGATGTGTTATATCTTGTCCTATCTATGTTAACTGTTGATGTGTTATATCTTGTCCTATCTATGTTAACTGTTGATGTGTTATATCTTGTCCTATCTATGTTAACTGTTGATGTGTTATATCTTGTCCTATCTATGTTAACTGTTGATGTGTTATATCTTGTCCTATCTATGTTAACTGTTGATGTGTTATATCTTGTCCTATCTATGTTAACTGTTGATGTGTAATATCTTGTCCTATCTATGCTAACTGTTGATGTGTTATATCTTGTCCTATATGTGTTATCTGTGGATGTAAACATAATTTGTCCTGTCTATGGTATCTGTTAAAGAATGTATAACCCGCTAAATAAATATTTTGGCATCAACACTGAATGATTTGAAGAAAAAGATGAAGTTTTGGATTCACACAATTCACGCGTCCTTAAATATGGACAGTTGACAGTAAAGAACTAAGAATTTAAACTCTCATACTGCGCGAATATCATGAAACCCATCAGTAAACTTTGCTTTTCAGACTCAAGTGTGATTTAACATTTATTTTTCACGCATATATAGTGTATATGTAATAAATACGCATATATAGTGTATATGTAATAAATACGCATATATAGTGTATATGTAATAAATACGCATATATAGTGTATATGTAATAACATACCTATACAAATTGCATTTTACATTGTCTGCAAATCTTACTGCGCTAATCCTTGTAATACGTAAAACTTGTAATGGGGCTATATTAGTTACGTATTGTGATTAGCTTAACTACGATGATATATATCTGCGACTATACTAGCTACGTATTGTGATTAGCTTAACTACTGATTAGCTTAACTACGATGATATATATCTGCGCGTATATATTGTAAATATGTATAAGAACCCAACATGTTAGATATATTTGTAAATGCACATTAGTTGGTTGAGACTTTGCTTTGATTACGTTGATAGAAGTAATTTAGTCCTTGTTGAAACATACGAGCTGAGATTGTGCCTAGAGCACATGTTTGATAGCTTGGCTTGTGTCCCCATGTGATATTCAGAGCTGATAAGATCGTGCCCATTGGTTTGACATTGATCGTTTAAAAGCTTGTTTGATAGCTACGTCAGTGTGCCCCTCTGCGACATTCAGAGATTGTGCCTAGAGCACATGTTTGATAGCTAGGCTTGTGTCCCTGTGTGACATTCAGAGCCGATAAGATCGTACCATTGGTTTGGCATTGATTGCTTAAGAGCTGGTTTGATAGCTAGGCTTGTGTCCCTGTGTGACATAGAGCCGATAAGATTGTGCCCATTAGTTTGGCATAGATTGTTTAAGAGCTTGTTTGATAGCTAGGCTTTTGTCCCTGTGTGACATAGAGCCAATAAGATTGTGCCCATTAGTTTGGCATTGATTGTTTAAGAGCTTGTTTGATAGCTAGGCTTGTGTCCTTGTGTGACATTCAGAGCCTTAAAATCGTGTGTTTGTGTCCTGGTTAGCATTTATAGCTGACGAGTTGTACCTGGACTGATACAGCTCTGAACGTTCTGAAGTTTTAAGAGTACTGCATTTACTACATATATTCTATTATATATCTAAATATATATTTAAATACACAAAATTGTTAATAAATCAAGAATTAGATAAAAATATGCTAATAAATACATTATTGCTTTGTAGTACTGTATATATAAGATAGAGGTGCTGGAAATTTTTATCTTATGACTTTTGTTTTCCGAAATTGGGTTTGATTGCCCTGACACAGAAATGAAAAAGAGGAGAAAGTGAAAAACTTAGAATTAGTTGTGTTTACATAAATAAGGGGGGGGGGGGGGGTTATTGTGTAAATAATTGATGAAATCTGTTTCAAATATATTCGATCTTAATGTCAACTTTAGTTTCGTTGGTGTCAATCTTAAAAATAATTTTCTTTAATTCTAATTCTTTTCGCCATTTTAACATCTTTTGCTCTTTATCAAATTACGTCGTACGAAACATTCATTAAAGGGAATGTTTGCAATAGTCAAAATGGGGAACAGGAACAATTAAAATGCTTATCCTGAATCATAATAATCTTAGATATCTGTTTATAAATCTTTTATATTTGCTTTGTACGAAGTGTATGGAGAGAGTCTTTAAAACTATTGATAATCAAAACAAAATTTATTGTTAAATTGTAGTTTTCTGGTAAGTATATAAATGCCTGTGTGTTTGCTTGTTTGTTTACGTTCCTCCATCTCATTGTGTACTGCACCTAGTTCACGTCTAAACAGTACATTAGTAAACAATTAAATGTAAACAAACCATGTGTAAACAATATCTTTGTAAACAAAGTGAACAATAAATAAACAAATAATAGAAAAAGTTCGCATGAAATTGAAAGAAGCAGTCATAAAACAAATACTTATTTCATTACAGGGTATATGTTTTCCAAAATTAGCCCCAAACCCCCGCACTCGCAGGGAAGTATGGGGGGGGGGGTAATCATACAATTTTAACGAATTAAGATTTTAAGGGGGCTAGAGCCAAATAGAAAATTGTTCTGCGGAAAGTTAAAAAGTAGGGGAAAACATTATTTTATCATGGCAAGTTTCCTTAGCTGTGTTTTTTGAGAATAACAACAAATGATTTTTGTAAAGTTCTGTAAAGTCCTGTCAACAAACGTAAGCTGTAGATACAAAATATAGCATGTACACTCTGTACAGAACTGAGAATCAAATATTGGAAAAATTCATGAAAATTGTTTTAAGAAATGTAACCATGATATATCTACAGGAAATCATTTTTTAAAGAAAACTTTGAGCGTGATTTCCAAACTTCTTTAGCATGAAAAATAAATATTATAAATAGTCTAAGGGACTGTACACGTAATTTTAGTAACTGTCTCTTTACAAAAAAAGGCATGTCCGATGTACAACGGTACTATTAAAACCTATGTCTGAGTAAGAATGCGGAAAACTAGAAAAACGACTCTATCCTACACATTATTGATTAGATAGAGGTTAAAAGGTACCATTGTGAATCTCCCATACCCCTCTGTTAAATAAAAGGTCAGTTGAATTTACAAGTATTGTTACCGACCTAGGGGACACAGAGCTTCTGTTGGAATAATTGAACCCTGAACTCTCATTCAAGAAACTTCAAATTAAATATTTTTAAAATTTTGTCACTCTTTCTTTTTTTACTCTTTTAATGAAAGTCTGGACGGAACACGACGACATAATTATGCAAGGTTATAATGCAAGGAAAGTTAATTCCAGTCGCGTATACTCTGCGTACATATTAAAAACCAGTTCTCTTTGGGCGGAATTTGTAAACAACAATAGATGCATCAGTGTTCGTTTAGTATCTATGGAGGTTAAAAGCATTAAATTTTGATAATTCACATAATAGTTTCCTATGACCAAAAAAATATTTCATTGATTTTTTACGTGAAAGATGGATCCCATTGTCAGGCTTCGACATCCGTCTTGTGTTTACATTACTGCCCAGAGACAGTACACTGCAGTACAAAAGATGCGTACACCTCTGAAATAAATTTCCTTGCATTATAACCTAGATCATGGATATACAGTACATGTTACAGTACATGTTCTACCGGGTAGAATAAAGGGATTTAACAAAGCTGAAAACTTGAGAACGTAAAAATAGGAGAAAATAATAACATCAGTCATGTTCTTAACACAGCTTTCGTCCACTTTATATGAGGAATTTATAGATGCATTGGATAATAATAAATGGTGATATATATTAAAACCACCAGGGAGACATCCGCCCCTNAATAATAATAATAATAATAATAATAATACCCCCCTCTTCTTAACTACCCCTCTCCTTCTTCTTAACCCTCCACTCTTTCTTAACTCCTCTCCCTACCTTTATCTACCACCTCCCCATTGACAAAGATGGTAAGATGGTCAAATTTAGATCTTCTATCTATAAATGAACTTTGCTTGTCTGTCTGGGGTGTTTGTTTGTTTATATTTATATAAACTATATTTTACCTCTCTTTTCCTATCTAAATAAAACTAGTTTCTACCTCTCTTGTTCTTTTTATTTAAAACTATTGTCCTATATCTATATAAAACTATTGTCCTATCTATATAAAACTATTGTCCTATATCTATATAAAACTATTGTCCTATACCTATATAAAACTATTGTCCTATCTATATAAAGCTATTGTCCTATATCTATATAAAACTATTGTCACATATCTATATAAAATTATTGTCCTATCTATATAAAACTATTGTCCTATATCTATATAAAACTATTGTCCTATACCTATATAAAACTATTGTCCTATCTATATAAAGCTATTCCTATATCTATATAAAACTATTGTCACATATCTATATAAAATTATTGTCCTATCTATATAAAACTATTGTCCTATATCTATATAAAACTATTGTCCTATCTATGTAACCTATGCTCCTGTCTCAAGAAGAGTGTACAAGTAGAAGAACGTGATCTGGAATTAATGAGAAACTTAAAAAGGTATCGACATGACTAAACCCTTAATCTATCTTTCTATCTATATATCTGTCTGTCTGTCTGTCTATCTGTCTATCGATCTAACTATCTATCTATCTATATACCCATCTATCTATCTATGTATCTATCTATCTGTCTGTCTATCTATCTATACATATATCTATATTTATATCTATCTATATATCTATCTATATTTATATCTATCTAACCTTCTATCTATAATTCTATATATCTATCTATCTATCTACCCTTCTATCTATATTCATAAATATCTATCTATCTATCTTAAAATTGTAAAACTGACATGTCTAAAACTTTTCTTTGATTAAAAACTTGTATAGATTCGTGTTTCTGTATTAAGAATCCTAGAAGGAAACCTCTGAACTATAAACATGAACTAAGTCCATGCTGTTGTGATCGAGGGAAAACTCAACAAAATTCTTTTAAATGAAATCGTTTAAAAAGTTGTTAAAGTCTCGTAAACCTTTGATAGAATCTAATGAAAATGACTATTAAAGTGATAGAATTAAGAACGAAAAGATCTTAATGGCTGAAATTATACTTTCAAATTATTATCAAAACCAGGAGCATTTATGTAGGAACTTGTCCATGGGGGACTCAAAACTTTTTTTACAGTCATAGAGGGGGGGGGGGCTGAATTCTTCCTGGANCCCCCCCCCTGTTATGCAGTTTACTAAATTAACCCCTCCTGATGAATAAATAATGAAACTCTAGGAATATTTAGCCAGGATTTAGAATTCACATTTACTCAACATTCTTTTTTTTTAACACAAATACGGACACTAGCCTTAGAGTGTTAATATTTATATATGCAAACACAATGAAGATCTTAGAGTACAGAATCTTTAGAATTGTAGACCTTAAAGGGACTGTAGGCATTGGTTTAAGTGATTTGTCCATTTATAGAGTGGCATGTCCTGTTCACAATTGTACCCAGAAAAACTTTGTCTGATCTGGAATAAATGACTAAAACATGTTTATGAGAACAAATTATTTCCAATTGTTTGTTTTTTCTACAAAAGTGATTTTTACATTTCTGTTTCAGAAACAATGCAGGAAAATATCAGAAGAAAGCACTTTCCCAGTTGAAAAAACAACGATATCCTCCACTCTATTGATCAGATAAAGGTAATAAGATATGCCCCTCTTTTAATGGACGGTCACTTGAAATTACTACGACAATTCTTTTAATGATACATCCCAAATACTATAGTTTCATGCTCTTTAGAAAATGAAAAATCCTAAATCCTAAAGTTTTATGCTCTTTAGAAAATGAGAAATCCCAAATCCTAAAGTTTTATGCTCTTTAGAAAATGAAAAATCCTAAATCCTAAAGTTTCATGCTCTTTAGAAAATGAAAAACCTCCATTGATTGAAAAAGATCATGTTCAGAGATAAAATTCTACAAATTCAAAGATATTTCTAAAAAAAGCTAGGCCTCTAAACCCTAATTCCTATTTCTCATGTTTTGGCTTTTACACCTTGATTTCATCCAATAAACCTGACATTGATTGATTATAAAACCAAATCTATAAGGTGAAAAAGCTTGAGGTATAATTCAATTCTAGAATTACTGTTTTACATTTTACCCCTGTTATGTTATGGTCACAATGTATTGATTTCTTTAAAATGTTGAATAAATCAAGATTGGGCTGAAATAAAAAGGCCTGAACTGCCTAGAGTCCTAATCTGTGCATTCAAGCCGAAATTGGCCTTTACACATGGATTTACAGGCCGCGGTCTGATCAGACCTAATTTGTTTTCATCGTTTCAATATCAAAACAAACATTTACAGGGATTGTCAATAACGTTCATCATGTGAGAAACAAAATAATTTGTTAATTCTAAAAATCACGAGTTGTTTTCTCAAACCTAGTCCGTAAACTCTAAGACTATAAAAGATAGTGTTGCATAGATCGAGATAAGTAAAGTAGTTTCGCTAAAAAAATGTTCTTTAGAGACACAATTGACATCCTTTGGTTGTACCTTCATATTTTATTTTTTGTCATTACAGTCTAATTTGGTAAGAAAAATATATATCTTAAAAAATCTAAATTTTATAATTTTAAAAATATTCCTTATTTGTGAAATTGGTCTGGAGGGCAGGGGAGTGTGTCTGAAAAATAATTTTAAATAAAATTTACAAATATTTTTGTTAAAATGTTTACGATTTACTCCTGGTCTTTAAACTTACCTTGGAGTGTTAGGAAGGGAAAAGTACTGAGAAACAGGTCTCCTTGTTGTAGCTAGTAATAATAGTAGTAGTAATAATAATAATAATAATAATAATAATATAACATTATATTAATTTAAAAACAATTATAAGAATTTATAATTTTGTTCAGCTTTTTTATAAAAATTTTTGATTTTTAAGTATATAGACTGACATAATAACTTAATATAAATTATTTAATAATTGAAATTAAAACCTGTAAATTCACTTCTAACAGATGTTGGCCTAGTAACTGAATTCATCTATGTAATATTAAATTGATATTATTTAAATACAAACGTAATTCCTTTAATTCACAAAACTAAAAGTAGAACAGGAAGTATGAATAAAAAGTAGAGATTGCTTTGTGTTTAAACATATTGAAAATATAAAAATTTATGTTTTTTAATTCATATTAAATTTTTGAGTACAAATCTTCCATCTTTTGTAGGCAAAAGTTTTAAATCTCTTTTGATCAATGTGTGATCGCTAAAAATACAAGTCACGGATTAAGCTAATGATCGATAGATTTAAAAGTTGTTAACTTGAACATCAAGTTCAGATATTGTAGATAGTTTAGCTCTATCTCATAAAAAAGGTTTAACCTCCATGTTTCCACCACTATAAGCAGAAACTTGAAAAGTTTTGAAAAAAACCGAAATTCTGAATAAATTCATAATTAGTAATTATATACCTGTCTCATAACCAGACTCTCAATCTCAGGTTTCGATAGAGTTAATCCGGACATTAATCTAATCCATTCATACATATCCTTCAATCCCTAGAATATATATCCTTTAATCCCTAGAATATATGTCCTTTAATCCCTAAAATATATATCCTTTAATCCCTAAAATATATATCCTTTAATCCCTAGAATATATATCCTTTAATCCCTATAATATATATCCTTTACTCCCTAGAATATATATCCTTTAATCCTTAGAATATATATCCTTTACTCCCTAGCATATATATCCTTTACTCCCTAGAATATATATCCTTTAATCCCTAGAATATATATCCCTTAATCCCTAGAATATATATCATTTAATCATTTATTCATTTAGAATATATATCCTTTAGTCCCTTAATCCCTAGAATATCTATTTTTCAATCCCTTTTAATTCGGTCTCTGCTGATCTAAACATCTAGAACATCTAGAATATATATCCTTTAATCCCTAAAATATATATCCTTTAATCCCTAGAATATTTATCCTTTAATCCCTAGAATATATATCCTTTAATCCCTAGAATATATCCTTTAATCCCTAGAATATATATCCTTTAATCCCTAGAATATATGTCCTTTAATCCCTAAAATATATATCCTTTAATCCCTAAAATATAGATCCTTTAATCCCTAGAATATATATCCTTTAATCCCTAGAATATATATCCTTTAATCCCTAAAATATATATCCTTTAATCCCTATAATATTTATCCTTTAATCCCTATAATATGTATCCTTTAATCCTTAGAATATATATCTTTTAATCCCTAGAATATATATCCTTTAATCCCTAAAATATTTATCCTTTAATCCTTAGAATATATATCCTTTAATCCCTATAATATTTATCCTTTAATCCCTAGAATATATATCCTTCAATCACTAGTATACATATTCTTTGATCCCTAAAATATATATCTTTTAATCCCTAGAATATATGTCCTTTAATCCCTATAATATTTATCCTTTAATCCCTAGAATATATATCCTTTAATCACTATTATACATATTCTTTAATCCCTATACTAAATATCATTTAATCATTTATTCATTTAGAATTTATATCCTTTAATCCCTTAATCCCTAGAATATATATTTTTCAATCCCTTTGAATTCGGCCTCTGCTGTTCTAAACATATCAGTAACTGATGAACATTAAAAATACGCTAACAGTCCCTTTATCTCTTTATTATAACTGATATTCTAAACATATCTCAGTGATTGATGAATATTAAAATTACGTATACAGTCCCTTTATCTCTTTAATATACCTGATATTTTAAACATCTCAGTAGTTAATGAATATCAAAATTACGTATAAAGTCCCTTTATCTCTTTAATATACCTGATATTCTAAACATATCTCAGTAGTTGATGAATATTAAAATTACGTATGCAGTTCCTTTATCTCTTTATTATACCTGATATTCTTAGCATCTCAGTAGCTGATGAATATTAAAATTACGTATACAGTCCCTTTATCTCTTTAATATACCTGATATTCTTAGCATCTCAGTAGCTGATGAATATTAAAATTACGTATACAGTCCCTTTATCTCTTTATTATACCTGATATTCTAAACATCTCAGTAGTTGATGAATATTAAAAGTATCTCTCCTGACAATTCTCCACAGTGTGAGGAGATCAGAGAGTTTGTGACGGTCAGAGCGCAGACCGCGGCATCCTGTGCGCCGCCGCCGCGATTCTTTAAATATAAGTTTAGGTTGAACATTGATTTATCAATTCTACAAGTTTACCCACACAGGGTGAGACTTTAATAACGACCTGAAGCTACTAAAATTGGACTTAATCTTAATAGGTTGAGTTTGACCTTTTCCCTTAAATAAAGTCTTTAAATGTTATGATTTATTAAATGATTTGATAAAGAAAAAGAATTGTTGTTAATTGCTGCAAAAAAAAACCTTAAATGTTTTAAAAGATGACTAAACAATATCCGTACAGTCGTCTTTGAAGTCTAATCAAGGCGTATATACTCCTTAGTCCTAAAATGTTTTAAAAGATGACTAAATATTATCCGTACAGTCGTCTCTAAAGTCTGATCAAGGAGTATATACTCCTTGAGTCTAATTATCTTTGGATAACCCTGTATCTCAACCAAACCTTAAAAGGAACTGAGTTCTTGTCAAAAACTCAAATTTTACTATTGCTATTATCTCAGCAACCTTTGATATTTCAAATTAGGCTACCAGAATTTATAGTTTGTAGCAAAAACTCAGTTACTTTACACAGACTGCATGTTCTGTAGTTTTCAGAACTAAATTCTGAAGAAAAAGTAAAAAATAAAGTGTTTGTCATAAAAACTTTTCAGATTTTCATGACTAAGATCAAATGCAGAAAACTGACCTTAAGTTCCATTAGTTGGATGACTGATTTTTATAGATGTGTAATTTCAGTAAGAAATATAAAAACAAGTAAAACAAGTATAGATTGAAATCGTCAGGATGATATATTACCTATATTTGGAATGTATCCAGAAAGACCCAAATAGTTGGCAATTTCTTTCCATTTAGATGCAACCTAAACATCAGTTAATACAGAATTGTTAAAAAATTGGTATTTAAACGGAACCTTAATACACAATACACATCTAATATAATAAAACAAGACATTCGTATATATGTTCCCTCTGGCCTGCCAAATGGCTGGACCGAATGGGCTGAAATGTTTTGTGGACATTCATGGGTATTGCGGGGGTGACAAAGGCTAAACAAAATCGAAATTTTAAAAAAAAAATTTTTTTTTATTAATTCTATTTTTTTACGGGCAACGCCGGGCCCTTCAGCTATAGTATGTAATATGTATGTATGTTAAGTACAGCCGGCCAAACCATAACTTATGCAAAGAATGTTATATTTTCCCCAGTCTGTAGCATATAATATGTAGCTATCCGACCAACTGCGGGTAAACGGCGGGAGTAAGTATGAGTAACCTGGGCAACGCTGGGTTCCCAAGCTAGAAGTACAATAAAAATTTATAAAATAATTTTTAAATATTTAATCTTCATGACGATTGTTAAAATATTTTTTAATTTATATAAAAATGTGATACTTGGCCACTTTAAGTTCAAACAAAAGAGAAAATTACCAAATTTTGTTGACTTCTATTATTTTTTTTCTGATTCATACACTTTTTTGTTTCTAGCCTAAACCTATAATTTATTTATTTTTGTAAGAGTTGTGACCTAATCTTCGTGTTTAAAGGTTTCCACATGTGTTTAGAAGAAAACTCAAGGGTTTCAATATTTTCTTTTATAAATCCTTCCTCTTAGAAAGTTTATGTCAGAGAAGAGGAGGAGAGGGGGGACAGTGATATAGAGATTACAAGCTATAAACCAAAAAACAATGAAAATGATGATAATATCTTAACCTAAAGTTATAAATAAGTGCTTTATTATTCTAAAATGTACATGTCTAAAGCTGCAAAAAAGTAAAAGTGGGTAAGAAAGGTAAAATTAAAGGTCTGGGAGTTTACTTTAAAGTCGACCCATTTTTTATAGAAGAAAACAAATGATCACATGAAGAAATTGAAATAAATCAACATTTTAACTCGATATTTTAACAATATTAATGAAAGGGAAGACCCCCCTCATCAATGGCATATTAAAGACGGATTTGATTGATCTGACGTCCTTATATTTAAGCATTAAATGCATAACAGGGTGTTTTCTACAGAATGTACATTTTTGAGGTGTCCCTATTGAATTGAATAGTGAACAGGGTGAACCATGATAAAATTTAATTTCATTATTCTAGACGTACAGGGTGTCCCTGTGCACTTTGCGCCCCTATCTTTACATATACATGTTGTTCCTCTATTCTGAAAATATACATATTGTTCCTCTATTCTGAGCATATATACATGGTGTCCCACTATCCTGAACATATATGTGCATGATGTCCCACTCTTCTGAACATATTTATACATGGTGTCCCACTATTCTGAACATATATATACATGATGTCCCTCTATTCTGAACATATATACATGGTGTCCCACTATCCTGAACATATATGTGCATGATGTCCCACTCTTCTGAACATATTTATACATGGTGTCCCACTATTCTGAACATAAAGATACAGGGTGTCCCACTATTCTGAACATATTTATACATGGTGTTCCACTATTCTGAACATAAAGATACAGGGTGTCCCACTATTCTGAACATATTTATACATGGTGTGCCACTATTCTGAACATATATATATACATGATGTCCCACTATTCTGAACATATATACATGGTGTCCCACTATCCTGAACATATATGTGCATGATGTCCCACTCTTCTCAACATATTTATACATGGTTTACCACTATTCTGAACATATATAAATATTGTCCCTCTATTCTGAACAAATACCCATGGTGTCCCACTATTCTGAACATATATATATATTGTCCCTCTATTCTGAACAAATACCCATGGTGTCCCACTATTCTGACATGGTGTCCCACTATTCTGAACATATATATATATTGTCCCTCTATTCTGAACAAATACCCATGGTGTCCCACTATTCTGAACATATATATATATATACATGATGTCCCACTATTCTGAACATATATATATGGTGTCCCACTATTCTGAACATACATATACAGGGTGTCCCACTCTTCTTAACATATTTATACATGGTGTCCCACTATTCTGAACATAAAGATACTGGGTGTCCCACTATTCTGAACATATTTATACATGGTATCCCACTATTCTGAACATATATAAATATTGTCCCTCTATTTTGAGCATTTACCCATGGTGTTCCACTATTCTGAACATATTTATTCATGGTGTCCAACTATTCTAAACATATATATAAATGGTGACCCACTATTCTGAACATATATATACATGATGTCCCGCTATTCTGAACATATATACATGGTAACCCACTATTCTGAACATACATATACAACGTGTCCCACTATTCTGAACAAATATATACATGGTGTTCCACTATTCTGAACATACATATATATATACATGGTGTCCCATTATTCTGAACATATATATATATACAGGGTGTTACACTATTCTGAACATATATAGATGATGTCCCACTATTCTGAACATATATATATAGGGTGTCCAATTATCCTGCCCCCCCTTGGTATAAAAAGTGCATCCTTTTGACGGATGTAGTGAATTTTGCATGAGACACGCTGCAGCATGTGATTGTGAAAGCTATAATCGTTAGACTAGTCCGACTGCATAAATACAAGGGGCCCTCCAGAAGTCTGGAGTATATGTATTATAATCTAATATTAGTATGTCAAGAGATAACACGGGGACAGAAAAATATTAAAAATATTTTATGTAAGATATAAAAGTAAAAGTTTAGTTTTATTGATTAAAATTAACTGCTAATTTGTCAGGGATTTTATTATACTCCCAAATATTAAGTGTGTTTGGGTTAGTGTTAGTAATTCAGACATGGTTGGGTGGGGGGGGGGGGGGGGGGGTAGAAATTAGAGGTGGGATAGAAAGTAGAGAGAAGGGGGGTGGGCTTGTTTTGTTGAGGTGTCTAGCTGCAGTATTTTGACACTCCTTCTTTAACTCTGTATCCGACTTATTCACTCTTATAGCAAACACACAGCACAATACAAAAACAGTTTTTGAAACATTTCAGCCATGTGAAAACTGTTTAAAGGGATTGTTCAGAAATAAAGAAAAGATAGTAGAGAACAAATTAAAATCAGTTAGGATTCATGATTTAAAGAACAATTTTCTAATCTTTATATTGAATAAAGAGTAAAAAAAGAACAGATTTTGTTTCCTATAAAGTAGTAATGTCGACAAGGCTGCCCATATTTTGGTCAAATCTTGACATATCATGGCCCCAGAGAGATGTTCAATGGCGCAGTCAGAATTATAAATGTCTGCACACTTTAAATTAAACAAACCCCAGAAAATCTGCGAAACTTATTTTTTCATTACTTGGGAACCAAGCTTTGCCTGGAAACTAAATTTCCCGAGAAAAGTCAAACAAAAAAACTTGTAAGTAAGCCAAAAAAGAGTCCTGTGGTTGACACAAAACGGTCAAGGGTTCGTTAGATGCCAACAAACACCCAGCTTTAAATTATATGTATATATATACTCTATAGCTTGGGCACCAGCTATGTTTGAACACTTTTTTTTCAAAAATATTAACCTTTTCATTTTAGTTTATTGTAATAATAGAGATTACTACTTTATATAAGTATATATAGATATAGTCTAATATTAGCCAGACCTCATGCTATTTAGTATACCAGTATACTGGTATATCAGAATTATAGAATACTAGCATATCAGTATACCAGTATATCAGTATACAAGTATATCAGTATAATAGTATATCAGTATACCAGTATACCAGTATAATAGTATATCAGTATACCAGTATATCAGTATACTATAGTATATCAGTATACTAGTATATCAGTTTACCAGTATATCATTATAATAGTATATCAGTATACTAGTATATCAGTATATCAGTATACTAGTATACTAGCCAGACCTCATGCTATTTAGTATACCAGTATACTGGTATATCAGAATTATAGAATACTAGCATATCAGTATACCAGTATATCAGTATACCAGTATATCAGTATAATAGTATATCAGTATATTAGTATATCAGTATACTAGCATATCAGTATACTAGTATATCAGTATACTAGTATATCAGTATACTAACATATCAGTATACTAGTTTATCAGTATATCAGTATACTAGTATATCAGTATACTAGTATATCAGTATATCAGTATACTAGTATATCAGTATACTAGTATATCAGTATATCAGTATACTAGTGTACTAGTAACTCAGTTTACCATTACATTTTCTCTTTATAAACATTATAAAGCAAAAACAAATAAAGGTTTCGAATGTTTTAAAAACAATTTGTGGATTTTCAATATTTAATGAAAATCAAATTTTGTTAGAGACACATTTTTGAAATTTTGATTATCTATAAACCTTCTCTGGGGATATGTGAAGTCCTATACAAAATTTGGGCCCGATCGGTTCAGCCGTTTTGACGTGTATTGGATACAAACAAACAAACCCAGACACCAAAGCAAAATATAGAAGATACCAGTAAAAATGTCAATGAATTTCGGTTAAATTTGAAACAATATTCAAACACTGCAGTCTGAAATTTGTCTTGTATAATCATAATTATATCTCTAGTAGATATAACTTTAAAGGAATTTTCAACGCTTGCCACAAACTCGAATCCATTTATCTTTGCAATTTGATGGTGTAAACCAACCTTTGATATTTCAAATTTAGACTATTTTACCTATCTATTTGATATATCAAATTCAAAGGTCTCTATCAACTATTAACAATATATGTTTTTTATTCACATTCATTTGTGGTTGAATTAATAAAAACCCTAAATTCTAAAATGTTTATTAACTTACCAAATCGTCGGCCACCAACCACTCTATCAAATCAGGGCCGATTTCGTACATTTTGGAAAATCTAAAATTTGATAAAGAAATGTTATTTCTCTGGCTAAACATAATCATCTTATTCCAAATTTCTAAACTTTAGTTTTTTGAATATTTGACTTATCACTCATAAATACATAAACATGAGCATAAGCATAAGCATAATAAGATTTATTTAGAAGTTAGTCATATTCATGAACTACTAGCTGAAGTATACGACATAATGCCGTTACAAAGAGTACAATATATGGATAGGGTATTGAGGGTCGTCATCTGACGCTCATGGTCTTTGAATAAATCTGTATAATATATATATAATATATAATATATGATATATAATATATAAAATGTACCAACCAATATATGTATCAACCCCCTGACATGGAGACTAAATTTCCTTATACAGATTATCGTTATCGTAACTTTTAATGTTAGGACATATTACGTAATATTTGTTAATACAAATCCCCCTCCCTCATATCATTCCCATCCCCCCCCCTCCTTCTATGGTTATTCCCTACATGCTTATAATCCCTTCCCACGTAACCCTCCATCCCCCCTCTCTCAATCTTTTTTTATTATTGGAAACCAAAAAAAAGTGTTAGTTTAAAATTTTTTTTATCATTTTTTTTTATGAAGTAATAAGAATGTTTATTTAGGAATTTTACCATTGCTCCAATTCAACAAATTGTTGGTAGGCGATTGAGCCCTTTTAGGCAACTGTTAAAATATAAAGACACAATCAATAACTATTTATAACACTGTTATTTTGGTCTCATAAAAATACTTTTACTTTGGTTAATTAATCTTAATCTTAATCTTGCATATAAACATCTTAATCGGTATCCAAATTAAATAAAATATAGATAAAAGAAAGCATATAAATATATAATTATATATGATGAATTAAATTATATCTATATTAAAAGGTGAATAGGAACAGGTAAGGAT